TATATATATATATATAACATAATATTCTAAAATGTATTCACACACATACACACACACGCATAATACATTATTAATAAAACTACATTTTATTATAATTAATGCATTTAATTTATATATTTATATAACTTTATTACATTATCTAAACACTACGATTTCTATAAAGTATTTAAATTATTTAGAAAAGTTTATAAAGTTTCAGTAATTTGAGTCATTTCTATTAATAAATACATATGATTATTTATCATGATTACTATGTATTATTTATAGAATAATAAAAATATTACAGTATCAAACTACCGCTATAATATCTAAATGTTATACATTATTATGATATAAATTATAATAACATTAAATATACATATTATTAAAATGCATACAATCCTATTTTTATGATTATTGATTATTACAGTTAATTCTGGGGTGTCTTTTTATATTTTTAACAACTGGGAAAGAGCTAATAACTTTGTTGTGCTTTTTTCCCCAACAAAACTTGGCTGACACAGTGAAAAGATGCAAGAACTACAATACAAAAGCACATTATGGAAAAATACCAGCGGCCACAAGCAATCGAATGAGTGCTAGACCTTTAACGGCAGAGCAGCGTCAGGAAGTGGCTCAAGAGCGCAGCGTCATTTACCAACCCTGAGTGGATTTATTATTGTTGAACTGGAAATGAATTGGCCCCATTTTCATAAATGAGAGCACTCAAGCATGACCAGGGGGGTCATATCTGAGGTGCACAGAGGCAGGAGGAGATGATGGTGTTTTAAATGGAGTTTGAAATGGCAGGTTTACCCGTGGAGTGGAGGACAGGCTCTGCACGACGAAGACCACGGGACTGGGCGCTGCTTTGATAGCCTGTACTGCCTCCTCATGGCTGGCGTTCTGCAAATCCACTCCACAAACCTATCACAGAGGATGGAGAAGAAAAAAAAAGAGAGGACAGAGGGAGGAGAAGGAGATAAGAGAGGATTTAAAGGGGACTTGCATTTAAAAGCAGGATTTTTTATTTCATTGAGACCATGATGTCACAACCATGTGCACATAATAATAAGGTCATTTATATAAGGTATAGTAGCAAAAGTAATGGAAACTCAATTAGAGCCATTTTTGGTGCATGAAAACTGTCTAAGCAGATTCATGGATAAATAAAAGCTACAAAACACAGAATATGGCCCCTTCAAAATGGTTAGGAAGCAGAAATGAGCAGAATATTACTGTTAACAGATAAAGCGGCTATATTAAGAGCAAACGTGTCTGAAGGTGTCTGTGTGTGGCTCTCAGACCTGTAAGATCTTGTCTCCTGTTTTAAGGGCACCCGTGCGTCCAGCTGGGCTGTCTGGCAGCACCTGTTTGATGAAAATGCCCTTCAGTTCCTCTCCGTTCTTCAGCCTCTTTATAACTGTGCGGCCGCCCACTATGCTGATACCCAGAGACTCCTGCAGATTTGGCAACACCTCCACCCTGAGACAAAAATGAATACATGAATGAATAAATGAAATAAAATGAACACATTTATTGTTAATTATTATTCATTTATTATTACTTTAATATAATATTACAAAAGATATAAAATTAAAGAAATTAAAATTAAAATAAAATCTAATTATAATACAATATAAAATTATGGAAAAAGAAGAGCAGAGGCTTATTTGATTTACTGTCTCTGATACGGAAACATCAAATCAGCACATCACTTCCTGTCCCTATTAAGGTCAACTGAGCTACTTTAGCAGAGAAAATAAAATAATTCCTGCATTTTCATTTCTGAATTTGTTAATGTGCATAAAAGGTGATCTACAATAATAATAATAATAATAATAATAATAATAATACAATTCTTGTGATTTGAACAACCTGTCGATAAACAAGCATTTGATTCATCATTTACTTATTAGTAGTCTTATCACCTTCCTTTATGAACTATATATAGAACTAGATCAAAAAAGTTCTTCAAAACAAACTCTGGAGTTGACTTGCAAAAGCCAGACCAGAAAATTTGAAAAATGAAAAATTTTATACTTGAATGCTGGAAGTTTGAAGTTTCAAGTAGTTTTAAAGATTAAAGTTTGAATGTTTGAAAGGTAATACAGTCATAGAAAAACATTAGAAAGACAGACAGACAGACAGGCAGAAAGACAGAGACAGACAGACAGATAGAGAGACAGACAGACAGACAGACAGACAGAGAGACAGACAGAGAAAACAGACAGACAGACAGACAGATAGATAAAGAATATTTGTTACTCATTTGAACCTTTATTTATGGATCTTAGGTTATGTGAAAATAATATCAAATATCAAAATACTTTAACATGAAAAATCTATAAATGAATAGAAAAGGATGTCGTTCCCTCAACATAGCATCACGTGGCCACGACATAATATCATGTTACCATGAGTTAATATGACATGGCCACGACAAAATTAAGTGAACCAAGCATGCCCCCTCCCGGTCACGGTATATTCTTTTTTTATTAATAATAATTTTTATTATTAATTTGTTACTTCCGTCCTACAGAAATCTCATGATTTTATTGTGTCTTACCTGCGTGGAGGACCCCAGTGACTGAACGCGGGCGTCTCCTCACCTTCTCCCTCCTCTCTTTCAGGCAGATCACTGCGAATAATACATTTACTGTATAGTTAAAATAATAAGCATCATACCGAAATTTACCATCAAATTCTAAAATATCAATGATTAGTAATGCCAAAAAGTTCACTTCTACCTGTTGCCTTCTCTGATTGAACCGGCAGCCCCCTGGTTTCTTCTCCGAGAGGAAGTGCGCTGTGCAGATCTGCTGAGAGAAACTATTACAGTCACAGAGGCAGCCTTAGTCACATATATTAGACTGAATCAGACTCATCAGGCTTATGCAGAATAAACAGGGATTCTGACTTAATCACACTCACATTAATCATCTCAGATCAGAGTCGGAGTTCACAAAAGCAAGTGAAATTATTTCTTAAATATTTCACTTGATTAAACAGCAAGAACAAATGAATTCCAGTGTAATATCAGGGAAGAATAAAGTATGATTAATAATGTATAAAGAAGAGCGGAGAAATTCACAGTTTTTGATTTAAAATCTCTGATACAAAAACATTAAATCAACATTACTTTCTGTTCCTATTAAAATCAACTGAGCTACATAAACAGAGCTAGAGCATACAACTAAAACATATTTTTTAATTTGTTTGTGTTGAGCTGCACAAATTGAATAGAAGATGCCCTATAATACAAATAATAAAACTAAAACATTATAGTAAATTATTATATTTATTATACAAAATACATTATTATATTATTATTTCAGTGTTAAAATACATTATTTAATGAAATTCTACACTAATAATAATGATTGTTATTATTATTTAGCATTTACTTATGTACTTATTATTTAACATTATATTTATTGATGTCATTTAACTGATGTTATGTGTGTGTGTGTGTGTATGTATATATATATATATATATATATAATTATATA